TCCCGTCGAGCCACAAAATAGGAATACAATGCATTATGTTAAACGATAATGATAAGCTTACGAATCGTTGCCGTACGTAAACAAGCATCTGACTTAGCCTCAGCAGGGAATATAGTGTCATATGCTTACACAGCAGTTGTGTCACCGTGGCCTACATAGCTTCGTTTATTGCTCTGAATCACGCTCCTGTCAGTTACTGCAACATTAGGTTTCTTGTTAACGTTTTTTCGTCGTTTCACTGACATCGGTATTTAAAGCACGAAACATCACTTCTGAGAATCTGTCACCGACACCGTTAGGAAGAAGTTTCTTTTTCATCGTCCGCACAACTGAACGTGCATTAATCTCAGTGATGGATATGGAAATGGATTAGGTGCCCTGCGTCAGCTGAGGTCAATGACAACTTCGACATTATTTCTTCTTCTGCGAATGCTTCAACTTCAGCCCGTGTTCGGCTTGTCCTTCCGGACATCTGTTTACTCCCGTTGCGGTTACGTGTTCCACACGGGCACTGGCCCGTTGTCGCTCGCTTAATCTTCTCCGGCTGTTTCTAGCAGAGCCGTTTCGTTTTCGTCATTTAAGTCTGAAACTTTCACGTTAGCTGTACAACACTGTCAGGTCGCGTCAGAGTTGTATGAGTGCTGGTTTGCGCCATTTTTATATCAGCGGCAAATTCCATTGTACGTTTCAGTGTTTTGTCTGTTATCACAAATTTTACCCGCATCTCACCTGGCGGCTTTTTCTGCACGACTCACTTGTCGCGTAAAGATATGTCAGTCACCGACGGCGATTTACGTCGTTATTTTGTCGGGCGGCGTGTTGTACAGAACATAAAGTATATAGCATGAACAAATGTACGAAATATATGACTGAAACAGATGACAGGCGATCTCAGCTCTCGTGCTTAATGTTCCATAGCGTAATTATATTTTTTTTATTTTGTTCTGTTTCGAAAATTTCTTCCAGTGTCATAGTCGGAAAATAGGACATTTGAAATTTAAAGACTTTATTTTTACGTGCCTCTCATGACTGTTTACGCTGTTGGCTTACTGTTGCAGTTTGATTTCATTTATGCTAATTTAATTTTTTGCGTTATTTTAGTATTATTTAATTTTGTCGTACATTTATCCATGCAGAAAATTCTTTGGAATATTCGATGGCTATATTGTTTTCTGATACGCAAGTATGAAACAGCAGGGTTGCCTTTATCCGCTGACCGGCAATTTTAACCTGTATTGAAAATCAATTATACGCAGATTAACGGCTAATTAAAACCGATGTTCCATCGTACAGGCATAGAGATTGGTACAGGTCCGGTCTCGAATAAGCAACGAATTGTTTATTTAATTGCGGAAACGTCTTGTTTTAAAATAATTTATAATTATCGTCATAATAATCGTTTACGATATCCGATGGTGGTTTGCCGCCCCGTCTTTGTGCGATGTTCTTGTGCGCGTCTCCGTTTCGGCAGCACCTTTGTGGTTTGGTTTTCTTTCAACGTGGCAGTTATTACTTCTATTATCCCAACGATGACGACCAACCCGTCTGAACAAAAACCAATCTAAACGGCTGTACGCCTGACAAAAGTTTCGCTGAGTCAAAAGTCGTGCACGTATTCGCAGCCGTAAACAATCGTAAACATAATACGCATGATCACCGAACGCTGTTTGTGATTGTGGGAACGGAGAAAACTTGTATTGGTATGATTTTGTTTTGTTGGTGGATTTTACTTGTTCCCTTTTCGGACATGTGACTCTGTTTTGCGGGTGTCTGGAGTGAACGACATTCGATTGAATCTTTCCCAATTTCCTTTACCGCATCCATGTGTCCGCCGCGGAACAGGCGCCTTCGTCGTTGGTTACCGCCGTCTGAACTAGTCACGATGCTCGAGTGGTGGTTATAACGTATTTGATGAGGTTGAGGGAGGGGGGGCTAGGGACATGGCTCGTATTTGCGTCTGAGTTGTCTGAGCGTATCACG